AAATACTAACAATCAGTTCCAGTTACCTAGAAGAACTTATAGCTTCGCCCTTTCCATATTTCTTTTGTGCAGAGAGAAAAAATGCATTTAATCTTAAAATGTCGTATTTTTTGTGATATGGTCCAACTTCCGAAAAAAATAAAGGAAATAAAAATTATTTTTTTAAATAGCGATATATGAATTTTACTAAACAATCCATCACCTATTCATTAAAAGTAGTTGAGATTAGGTATATATTATTTTAGTTTATAAAACAGATATTAATATGACTCATTTCCGGGGAAGTATATACAATTTAAATTACCTCTAAGAATCAGTAAATATATAAAACAAAATGTTAAATTGCAAAAATTAAATAAAAAATTCAAGATATTCTGCAAAGTATTTTTGAATTAAGTTTTATTATTATAATTATATAAATTATATAATAGAGCCCTTCTTAAGCGACCTCCGTATAGAATAAAGGAAGTTAAATTTAAAAAAAATAAATAAAAAAATAATAATAAATTAAAAAAAAAAATTTGACAGTTAAATTATTGTATTAATATTCGTTCGTTAATACAATCAATATAATATAACAAAAACGTTATTATAGCACTATAACTAAGCCATTTATGAGTACTGAGTGGTGTGGTAGAGGCCTGAAGGCGCCCACGCCAGTAGCGCTTTTCTGCCGCTTAAGAGCATTTTCTGCGGAACTACTTCAAATATTTTAAAAAGTAATCAGTGTTTTAGAAAGAGAAATGTATTCTCCAGATGTTTTATTTCAGCACGTTTTGCATTATTGTTGACCGTTTAATTACAAACGACGCTTGATTTTCAACTTGAAAATTTTTTTGTAAAAAAAATTGACTTTACCGATTTTTTTTAATGCCTAAACCAGTTAGTTTTTAACATTTTTTCATGTTTTATTATTATATGACTATCCAGCTTTAATAAAAGATCAACTATAATGAAATTAAGCCAAATGCTGATTCTCAGTAACAAAAAAACTAACTAAAATCAAAGTCGTCAATCCGCCATGTTTGGACGCCATTTTGGGGCAGTTCGTTCACTTTTTTTGTGGGAACATTGGCTTTTTTCTAATAAATTGTCACAAGGAACACAATGATATGCAATTTATAGGGATGTGGGAGGGGGGGGGGGAGTGCACGGTAAGGGGGTCTGGTAATAAATTTTCCTCCATCATGTATTTCTTTCACCTGCGCAAATCAGTTCGGAATAAACGGGAACAAACTGAGAAAGGACAAGCCTTCCCATATCACGGTGGCCCAAATTTTTTTTAACATCCAGAGAGGGACGCACCCCCAGACAGAAATCACTAGTGCTTAATAACTTTTTTCTATATGCACCCCCAGCTCGATCAGCTAGTTTTAAGGAATGAGAAAATCAGGAGTTCCTAAAATACATTTGTTGGTAATAAAGATCTGGGAGAATGAGAAATTATCTGAAGAATGGAAAGAATCTATTCTTATTCCAATTCACAAAAAGGATCCGAGGACGGATTGTAATAACTATTGAGGAATTTCACTCCTTTCAGTATGTTATAAAATATTGACTTTAATTTTAACTAGTCGAATCACTGAATAAATCATCGGTGACTACCAATGCGGATTTAAAAGGAACTGTTCGACTATTGATCAATTATTTTCTTTACCGCAAATATTGGAGAAAAAAATAGAGTACAACAGTGTTGTTTACCAGCTGTATATCGATTTCAAAAAGGCTAATGATTCTATTGACAGCTAGAAACTGTATAATATTCTAATCGAGTAGGGGATTCCAATTAGTAATTAGTAAATTTAGTCAGGATGTGCTTGACAGAAACACTTAATAAAGTTAGAATCGGTAATAATTTATCGGAAAAGTTTGAGGTTCATTCGGGTTTAAAGCAGGGTGATTCCCTTTCACCTGTCAGGTTTAACTTGGCATTAGAACATGAGATAAAGCATAACGAAAAAGGGTTGGATCTAGGTGGGACAACACCGGTGCTTGGCTATGCAGATGATCTGGTTCTGTTAAGCGAAGACACGGAAACTATAAAACTAAATACGACAACGTTAATGAAAGCTGGTAAAGAACTAGGGATCGAAATAAACATGGATAAGACAAAATATATTGTTAGCTGCAAAAATGGCTATATTGCTGAAACAATAACTTTTGTTGAAGTTCAACAGTTGTCCTGTGACAGTATATTAGGAATGGATTTTTGGCGGCCATTGAATATTAAATCAGATATGCGACAAGAGTTATGGGAATTTAGTGATGCAATGCAGACTGAAGAAGAGAGATATGCTATTATAAGTCATTCAGGTCTTAATGCTGGTCAAAAGGATAAGTTGAAAAGCTTGAAAAAATGGGAACAGAAGAACCCAACTAAATTGGGATGCATAAGTAATGTACAACACCCAATCGATAGTGGATATTCTTGGTCAACTAAGATATGGAAAATATTTAAGTTCAATTGACATAAAATCCGTATACTGGCAGATAAGTATGGAGTAATCCAGTCAGGAGTAAACGGCATTTACTGTTTCTGGAAGAGGACTTTTCCACTACGTTCATATGACCTTTGGATTGCATAATGCTCCAACGATGTAGTAGAAATTGATTGACCAAGTATTAAGGGCAGACCTTGAAATTTGGTATTTGTTTATTTAGACAATATCGTAATTGTGACCCAGGATTTTGAACATCATTTGCTGGTTTTGGAAAAGATATTAAGGATGTTGCAAGAAAAAGAAAATCAATTATAGTTATTTATTTACAATATTTACAATACAAATATTACAGCACGTTTTGATGGGAAATTAATCTAAATAAAACATTAATTACAACAAAATAATCTTCAATATTTAAAAACAAAATCAAAACAATTCAATATAACCTAAGATAAACATATAAAGAAAATCTTATGTGACTGCCTGAGAACAGAAATAAATATGTTAATAACAATGCACTAAATTAAAAAAAACAACTTTGTTTTCATTAAAATTTGAACAAAGAAGTAATTCAGTATCACAAGATTAATAAATATAAAATCAAAGTATAACATTTTTTTTTTTATAACATTGGCCCATCAAAAGCTGTATAATTAAAATGTTTTTTATAAAACATAGTTAATAATACATAATAGATTTGAAAAGATGTATGAAGACATCAAGTTACAATACAATTTAATATACATCATGAAAATCAGAAATCTAATTATTTCTGCTTAGATAAAAATAACTAATAACAAGATAATTATTATTTAGAGATGGGTAAGTAATGGACTGATCAATTATAAGGATAAAACAAAATTGTCAGGAATTTCAGTCAAAATTTCTTTAATGGGTTAGCCAACGTTTTATCCCAAACATGTGGATCGAAACGTTGGCTAACCCATTAAAGAAATGTTTACTGAAATTCCAGACAATTTTGTTTCATCCCAGATAATTAATAAATTTTCTCGAAAATGAAAAATATAAGATAACATTTGTGGTAATAGAAAAAAAAAAAAAACAGAATGGCAATTACTACCTCAAATTTTTCAGCTAAGAAACTGGAAAAAAGAGAACCTTTTCCTAGATATTTAACTTCTTAAAATGTTGCCACCCCTTCCACCATAGGAAAAGTGATTATTATTGGTTTAGAGAATATGACAATAAATGTATACCATATATCAAATAATAAATTAACATTGAATAAGATTAATTTTTGTATTAATAACTCAAAATGTCATTTCAGAACTCTGAAAAATAATAATTAAAACTTTTAAATAAGCTAAATCTCAGAATAAACATAAAAATCATACAGCTTTAAGGAGGCCAACAACAAGATTAAATGACTTCACAAATGTTCATATCAGAAAGTAGGATAGATTTTGAATCCATCCATCACTCAAAATTAAACTAATTTTTCTTTTAATATTGTATTATTGCCACCAAATAGTTATAAATTGATTGACCTATCATTACATAATGGCCACATAAGTATGAAGTTTATAAAAGCAGAGAAGTAACAATAACTTCGTGAAAAATAAAATTTTTCATTGCTATTAACAAATTCAGGAAAGGTAATAATATAGTAACCATAAAACAATAGATATTATAAAGAGAAAGAAGTTCGAACATTAAAAATACACAAGCATTGCATGTAATATGAAATACACAGCTTATTGTATAGTCATTACTTTAAATTTAAAAAAATATTTAATAAAATACTAGTTAAAAATACTAATTTACATTTTACAATTATAAATAAACATTACAGCCACTGTAATTTTACACGTCATATAAAAATAGTAAAATCATTAGTATCCGAAATGGAGCAGCAATTAACAATTAAAACTTATTTAGTAAAATAAATTAAAATGAGATTTTGAACAATAAGAAATGAGGTAGATTAGAATGTTGCTACAAAAAATCCAATGCTCCATCATACATAAAAATATGAATAATTCAACACAATATAATAATGAAAACATGCATACTTTTGAAACGTAAGGAAGTGAACTAATAAACATGGGAGATGAAAAAAACAATTCTAGCCTTAAAATAATAATTTTTTATCATTCTATTCTTTGTTATTGAAGAATGATGAACTAATATGAACAGAATATATGAAAATATGAAATATATGAAAATGATAAAAAATTTCCAGAATGTTTATAATTTTTACAAAACAGATTAAATTTGTTCATAACATAACAAATTTTAACTTTTCAGAAAATACAAGAAATTTAAATTTTTGAAAGATCTAATAAATTTTAAATTTGGAGAGAGCACTAATGATATTTAAGATTAACATAAGCATTAGGACGTATAGGAACGATATAACAGTTAAAACAAATGGTCTGAATTAATGAAACAAATCTTAACGTATCAACTCCAAACTGCTTGAAATTCGCCTTCACAGTTTAAATATAGATACACTAAACAAAAATAAGTAATTTTAAGAAGTATTCCAGATTAAATTTTTATATTTACAGAAATTTAATAAATACTTGAACTTACCAGTCAATTCATTATATCATCCACATTTGCAAAGGCACATGAACCAAGCCCAGATCTAGACATTAGTTGTATTAACTCTTTAGCATGTGAAACTGCTATTTCTAATGGAGGCCTTCTCGCCATATTGCTTGAATCTGCAAAGATAATGAAGACTAAAATTAAAAATAATTTTTCTGCAGTGTTTATAAACAACTTTACTTTGGTTGTACATTACAATTAGAATCTTTATTTAATTTTTACATTTAATTAATAACATATTAATGTTTAAAAGACCAAAAATCCTCCCACTAACACATCAATCTTTTTAACAAGAAAAATATTCTTTGAATATATATTGCATTATATATTTGATTTAACACTTTTTACGATTATCTCAAAAACGGCTCCAACGATTTTGAATAAACTCAGTATTACAGTGTTTTGTTAAGCATTTTTTAATATAATGCAGGTTTCATTCTCATTGATATTCTCTAACAGGGCTTAAATGGCTAATTTTCAATATTAGCTTCCTCTAAAGTGCCTTTAGTTTTTTTTATTTGAAATAATTAAACATTTCATATTAAACTTTGATTAAAACAATAGCTAAATATAAAATATGAAAGAACTTGACAATTAACTAAAGGAGAAATAAGAGATCGTAACGGATAATAGTTGTAATGGAAGAACCAAAGGAATACAAGCGTGGCTGAGCTGACCTAAGTTCGCCCGAAAGATTACAACTCTTCCATACGTAACATGAGCTTAATCTAATATGGACTTCGAAAATATTATGTACATATGCATATGCAGTTTTTATAAATGCTATCGTCGATATTATTTAATATTTAATTGTATAGAATACAGCGATATAAAAATTAAAATTTGTCTATATGAGGGTATTTAAACAAATAAAAATACCCACAATGAAATGTAAATAAATGTACTTTTGTAATTTTTACTTTCACTTCCTCTTTGTCGCAAAATACTTACTTCTGCTAAGAAGAAGGTGGTAAGTGAAAGTCGTGTGATGCATCAGGTTTTTGTGTATTATACTCATGAAGTCTAGTTACTGCATTGGTTATATTCATATATTTTCCGCGTTATACAGTTTAAAAAAAAGTGTTGTAGTTGATTTTGGTGAATGAATCTGAGCAATTGTGATCAACTACTATTAAAAAACAAACTGTAAAATTTATTGTGTATCACACAAGCCAATCGTACTAAATAAGATAAAAACTATTTTACATTTTAGTGACAGATTAGACAGGTTTATAACAGGATTGTCTGGGTGGAGTAAGCTCCACTCTTTTCTTATCTATCCAGGCCTTGAACTTCAGTAGCTTACTGGCTCTTTTTTGAAGCTGCGCAACTTTGAACAACACTGCATTTACATGTTCAGTTAAAATAAAAGAAAAACTTCTTTGAATACTACCCGTTAAAACTATTAACATCTTAATTAATATCGCCCCACTTTGTAAAATATATCTTTAAAAAATAGGTTGTACTAATGACGAGATTATGCAGGCTGTTAAAGAAATTAACAAAAATCAGGAAAAGAATAATAAACTAATGGCCAAGGTGATTGAGGAGTTGGATAAATTAAAAAAACATTGCATCCATTTAGAGGAAAAAAATACTCGATTGGAACGAGAAATTATGTTTCTTAAAAGACAATTAAGACGGAATAATTTTATTATACATAGTATAACAATAACAGAAAATGAGGATGTCTTAGATAAAGTAAAAGATTCCATAAAAAATGTCAATATAGCACTACCAGAATATGCCGTTAATAATTGCTTTAGAATAGGAAAGGGCCCCATATTAGTTTCATTAAATAATAGCTCCTTAAAATACGAAATATTAAAGAATAAAGATGCCCTAAAATAAAAAAAAATTCATGAGAGCCATGATAAAATATTGATTTTATTTAGGCCAGATGTAATCTTTTTATTTTGGTCTATTTTGTTATTCTCAAGGGACTGTGTCCCAGAATAAAGTTATTTTCTACCAATCTATCTATCAAACGCCCGAAGAAATAGAACAAGGGAAAAAGTTTTCAATTAATTTCGGACAGACCAGGAAAATATACTTTTGTTACAACCAAGGGGAGATTGGTGATCAATCTGGAATGTATAAATGAAAATTGTCTGGATAGATTTATAGACATGGAAGTCGTTAGTATATCAGGGCTTCTGGATCACAAGGCTTGTATTACCTCCCTGCAAACCATTAGAGCACAAAATCCTCCTATGGATAGAATACCTTCGCCAATAGAATGCTTAGTTACTAACTATTCACAGTGGGATGAAGACAAAATTAATTTATTTTGTGAAAATATTTCAAACTCTGAAAAAATGTATTTCTATTCTGAAGATGTAAACCAGCTATATGATAACTTTAAACAGGCAATGCAAGAGAACTTGTTGGAGGTTTAATGTTTACGAGGAAGATGACCGCGAATACCACTCCGCAACCTAAGCACAAATGGTTTGATCAGGAATGGAGGAAAGGTAAATGAAATCTTAAGAGATTGCAAAGAATTTAGCAGAAGAACAATTTATTGCCAATTTATCACCTTCAAGCCCAAGATGAATATAGAAAACTAATAAAATGGAAAAAAATGGAATTTAGAGCATCAGTAATTACAAATTTGAGAAATTTAAAAAACAGTGAACAATTTAGGAAGACTGTGAATGTGTTGCGATCATTTCACAATTAAAATAACGAAATAAGTTTGACTGATCTACATGAAACATAGTCTTTCTCCGTAACTCATCGATTCCTTGATATCAATATATCGTTGGAAGAACTGCAACACAGCATAGGTACCAGTAAAAAACAGAAATCTCCAGACCTGATAATATAACTTATGAAGTTGTTAAATGTCTCAACCCTTCTTGGGAGCATTACATATTAAATTTATTTAATAATGTATTCAATTCTGAACAAATTCCAGGAAGATGGACAAAAGCTAACTTGCATCTTCTGTATAAGGAAGGTGATAAAAAGGATCCGAATAACTACAGAGGCATATCCTTACTTAATACTCTAGCAAAGTTATTCACTAGCATTCTGAGGAACAGAATCATGAAATGGGCTGAATTAGAAAAATTAATACCGGAGGAACAGGCTGGTTTTAGAACGGGCAGAGGATGCATTGATAACATATTCACATTGATGCCAGTTGTCAACATTAATTTGAGATCAAAGGGCATCTATGTTTACGCAGTGTTTGTGGACCTGAGAAAGGCCTTCGACTTTATCAACCAAAACTTTTTGTGGGAAAGCCTTTTTTCTCTTGGAATGGGGAGAAAACTAGTTAGGCTTCTCAAGAAACTATATGATGCTCCATCGATGTGGATAAAGTTAAAACATGAGCTCTCAGAAGAGATTGGTATCAGCCTGGGCCTGCTTCAGGGGGTGAGTCTTATAGTCTGTGGGCCAGACCCCCTTACTGTGCACCCCCCCACATCTCTACAAATTGCATATAGTTGTGTTCCTTGTCACAATTTATTAAAAAAAAGCCAATGTTCCCACAAAAAAAAGTGAACGAACTGCCCCAAAATGGCGTCCAAACATGGCGGATTGACGACTTTGATTTTAGTTAGTTTTTTTGTTACTGAGAATCAGCATTTGGCTTAATTTCATTATAGTTGATCTTTTATTAAAGCTAGATAGTCATAGAATAATAAAACATGAAAAAATGTTAAAAACTAACTGGTTTAGGCATTAAAAAAAATCGGTAAAGTCAATTTTTTTTACAAAAAAATTTTCAAGTTGAAAATCAAGCGTCGTTTGTAATTAAACGGTCAACAATAATGTAAATCAGTAACAATTTTTTTGTTACTGAGAATCAGGTGTGGTATGGGCACTGAATGGTGTGGTAGAGGCCTGTAGGCACCCACGCCAGTACCGCTTTTCTGCCGCATAAGTACATTTTCTACGGAACTGCTTAAACATTTCTAAAAAATAATCAGCGTTTTAGAAAGAGAAATATATTCTCCAGATGTTTTATTTCAGCACGTTTTGCATTATTGTTGACCGTTTAATTAAAAACGATGCTTGATTTTCAACGTGAAAATTTTTTTGTAAAAAAAATTGACTTTACCGATTTTTTTTAATGCCTAAGCCAATTAGTTTTTAATATTTTTTCATGTTTTATTATTCTCTGACTATCCAGCTTTAATAAAAGACCAACTATAATGAAATTAAGCCTAATGCTGATTCTCAGTAACAAAAAAACTAACTAAAGTCAAAGTCGTCAATCCGCCATGTTTGGACGCCATTTTGGGGCAGTTCGTTCACTTTTTTTGTGGGAACATTGGCTTTTTTTTTAATAAATTGTCACAAGGAACACGTACATAAGGAACGTTTACAGGAATGTGGGGGGGGAGGGGTAAGGGGGTCAGGCCCACCTTGTATTAGTCCTGCATTGTTTATCCTGTTTATATCGAATATAGTCGAGTACTTCAGTGACCGAGGAGCTGTTGGTATTAGTATAGACCACAACCATGAAGTAGTTATGCTTCTGTTAGCTGATGACATTGTCCTCAATAATTCGTGGCATAGGTCACAAAGAAATATCAATATACTGAGCGAGTACTGTAAAAGCAAATCTTTGACCCTAAATCCAGCTAAGTCTAAGGTGTTGGTGTTCCACAAACCTTCAAAGATGAAGAAACTTAAGACTTTAGCTTGACGAAACACAAGTTTGGTGTACACCGGAAACTACACATATCTGGGTGTACCTCTTTCTTCTTCTGGAAAATTTGAAAGAGCTGCTGAGCATTTCTAACAAAGATCATCTGCTGCAGCGACCAAAGTGATGGCAATTCTAAGAAATGGAAAAAGCGACTCTTGGGAGACAAAAACCAGCCTCTTTGACTCGATGGTATCCTCAACACTGCTCTTTGCTGCAGAGATCTGGGAGCCAAGATACCTGGAGGTTTTGGAGAGGATGCAAGTTCGATTTATCAAGTCATTGCTCCATTGGCCAAGAAATACACCAAACTATGTGGCTCGCCTTGAAAGTGGGAGATCTCCATTAAACGATGAAAAAAGTGATCAACTATTGGACAAAGCTAAGCTTAATGAGTGACGAAAGACTACCTAGACAATGCTTTAATAGACTTAGAGCTTTAGACTCATCCATTGGAAAACCTGATCCAACTTATAACTGGGTTACCTAAGTAAAGATGATTGTGGAGGGACTGGGATGTCATGGGCTGTTTTCTCCCAATTTCTGATGAGGTTCAAAGATGAAATCATTGAAAACATGAGAAACCATCACACATCCAAGGACATCGACAGAGTGTTAAACTCTAAATCAGACCCAACATATAGAAAAATCTGCTCCTTCAATGTTACCAGACCAGAGGATTATCTCCAGTTCAAGGCTCTGAATTTAAACAAATTCAGTTAGCTGTCTCTGAGTAGCAAGTAAAGATTTTATGAAGATATACTTAAAAGATGCTACTTTGACTATTAAATCTAGTGAAGTATGTAGTGCATAAAACTGATCCGATGAATCATTTTTTGATTCAAACGAACCAAGCAATAAGTACTTAAAGACATTTATCACTGAATCCAGGGAAGATGTTATTGTGGAGGAGATACTGATAATAGACACTATGAAAAAATTGAATCAACTGTATTATTTCATACAGAGCTGTTCATTGAAGCGTTAAGTGGTATAGTTAATCATATAAACATACATTAATGCTTATTTATATTGTTATTTGTTTTATACCTCTGGAATATTTAAAAAAAAATTAAAGGAAGGAGATGGTCTGGGGTGGCGGTCATAAATAGGCTAAATAGTGGTAAAACTATTTTATTGAAAGCCGACGTTTTGACCCGACTTTGCAGGTCTTCTTCAGGGAGGTGTGTTTAGCTAGGAGTTTCACTTAGAACTGAGTTCTAAGTTCTTGAGTTCTAAGTGAAACTCCTAGCTGAACACACCTCCCTGAAGAAGACCTGCAAAGTCGGGTCAAAACGTTGGCTTAAAATGATTAAAAATATGTCCAATTTTAGCATCTCCCCCCTTTCATTGTGCTTACTAGCCTAAAGAATAACTCCATTTTTTTTTTACATCCATTTTTGAAATGTTTAATATATGACTAAAGGAAATATTTACTAAAAAGTCAATTTGTAATCAAGAATTTGTTTCATTTTTACAAAATTTTGAAATTTGGAATTACCCCTTTTTATTGGTAGATGTCTCACTCGATATGGAAACAAGAAAATAAACAAACTAAAACAAAAAATGTTCTAATGTCTAGAAAAAAAAAAAAAAAATGAAATTTTCAGTTAATACAAATAAAAAAAAAAAAGATACCGTCTTTGGCGAAAGTACCATAATAGCTGACACAATATTAGCAAATGTGAAGTGCTTCTTCAATTGTAATGCTTTCAGTATATCGACTAAGATAGCTTAAAATTAAGTTACTGGTGGAATTTACCTAAAATGGCAGAATTTAACTGGGCACAAACAGTTTCTCTTTGAATTGGATCTAGCTGCCATCCTACAGGGCTGTCCCATGGATTAGCATAGGCTAATAAACTGAAGGCATCCTAAACAATAAAAATGAAATGATAATAATAATATATAACGATTGTAATAAATAAATACATGGTTATAAAAAACATCAAATTTCAATAATTAAATTAAACATAAACTTTTGAAATAGTAAAAATCTAAATTTAATATGGGAATAAAAATATTCAATAATAACAGAAAGGCCTCCTTTAGCAATTACAGTTATTATATACTTTAACAATGATATTCAGATTTAAGAGTATTTCAGGTATATACCTGCAACATTTTCTTATTCTGCTCATGAGACCCATTTTCATGAAATAACTGCTGGCTGTAGTTATATAATTCCCTTCCAAAATCTAACATTCTTTGAATAGCATGGCGGCTACCACCACATACTTCCCTAATGCCACTTTCTAAAAAATACAAATCAATTCTCAGTAAAAAAATAAACAAAAAGAATGAACACTTTTTTTATTCTAGACCAATTAGACTTGTCATAATGATTAGTCTAGGGAGGTAGACAGTTTTATAAAAGTGTGTGTATAGACAGGATGATTAAGATATAGTACTCAATATTAGAAAAAAAGACTTTGAATATAGATAAGTTTTCAGCCAATCATAGGAAATGTTACAGTGGACAGGCTGAGTACTACACCAGTACAAGATTTAGGTCTCAACTTAAGTGTCGAAATATAATACGATATGGAGAATATTATCTATAAAGAAAAAAACAGGGTGTTGGCAGTATTCAGTGATTGGTTGGATAGAGATGAGGGGGAGAGAAGGAACAACAATTGGCTAAGCCTCAAAAGCATCCTTCTCTTCCCTATTACAAGGAAGGTGTTAGAGAACTTGGTGGTTAACCAATATAGATCTATTAGAGGTAGGGAAAACACAGCTTTCCAACTGAGAGTGCCCCTTATTTATTTTAAGGAGAGGGATGAAAAGTTTCATATTACTTCTACTTGAAATATCCTGATTTTTTTTAACATGCAGTGGTCGAGCAATGTCCAAGCAGCTGTAGGTATATAAGAATAACATTAAATTATTATTTATAATAAAAATAGTAAGAAGCTAATTCCATAACTGGTCAAAGAAGATACATAGGTTCTAAGAAGTAGAAAACATTAAGGATTGTTAATTTATGTTTTGCATGGTTTAATTATTTTCTGAATATTTTTTCTCTTTTAAGTAGAGTTCATACATCCCGGGCATGACGTTAAACTGTGACCTGGGTGGACAGGACTCATAGCCATAGTGAAGGCAACCTGTCTGGGGGAAGGCAACTCCAAAATCAAACCAATGTCCTTGCAGTTTAAAAAAAGGTTGATCGTAGGGCCTTCATTGAAAAAAAATATTTCGCTTTCAAACCCAAAACAGAAAGAAAACCGGATGGATCTTATCAGCAACAACTTAAGGCGCGGAAACGGGACATGTTTTTTTTGTATGTGGAATGTCCAAGGTTTGAGGGCCAAGAAAAAACGAGTTGGAAAATGAACTGAAAAAGCAAAATATCGATGTGGCAATCCTCAGTGAAACTAAAATCAAAGGAAGTTACAATGAACTTTCAGGAAATTTCGTGTATACCTACAGTGGAGTGGAAAAAAGTGGGAAAGTAAGAGCAGGGGTTGACGTGGCGATTAACAAAAGCTTGCACAGGTATATTAAGAATTATGAATGTGTAAATGAAAGGATAATTAAACTTGAAATGGCATTTTTTGGAGAAGAGGTTGTTATTTTTGGGATCTATGCTCTAACTGAAGATTCCAAGCAATCCATAAAAGACACGTTTTTGGAGGATGTTTGCGACTTGATAGAGCAAACACCTGGCCATAAGATTGTTATCTGTTTGGGCAACTTCAACAGATGTGTTGGCAGCAAGTTCAATGATGAGACCGTGGGATGCTTTGGAGAAAAGATAACTAACGATAACGGTGCAAGATTAATAAGTCTATGGGAGCAATTAAACATGAAAATATTAAATGAATTTTTCAAGCATAAAGAAATTCACAAATTCTCCTGGCACCAGCCCACTAAAGGTCTAAAATCAATCATAGATTATATAATCCTCAGGCGCACCACTAGGATAAAGGTGAACGATGTTAGAGTGATGAGAGGGCCGGAATGTGGTTTGGATCACTTTCTTTTAAAGAGAATACTGAATTTTAAACATCATAATCTTCTTAGAAACTCTCCAGTGACCAGAGGAAATTCAGACTCTCCGAAAACAATTCGATACTCAATTAATAGTATGACAAATCAAGAATCAGTAAAAGGACTGTTCCAAAGCCGACTGATGGAGAAATTGAATTATGAGAAAGGTTTGAATTATCGACTATATTACGAGAATATAGTAAAGTGTCTACATGCCGCAGCTTTAGAAGCTGTTGGAGAGGAAAGGAAAGAGGTTAGAGGAAAAAAACATGGAATGAGGATGCTTAAATGGCTGTTCAAGAGAAAAAATATTTATACAATAAATGGTTGAGCTCTAAAAATGAGGAGGACCTGAGGGAATATAGAAATGCCTGTAAAAAAGTAAAAGCTATTAGGAGGAAGGCATTAAATATCTATTGGGAGAAAACCTGCAAGTACGTGGACAGTTACATTGATGGGCAAAAGTCTAGTGCTGCTTGGAGGACATTAAAAAAATTGAAAAATCCCAAAAGATGTGGAGATAACTTCCCATTGATCAAAGGCCAGCAATGGGTGAATTATTTCATGAGGAGCGAGCCGAATTCGCATGGAACCAATCGAATGAAATAATATCAAATAAGGAAGATATACCGCCAGTAACAATTATAGAACTGGACTCAGTTCTAAAAGGAATGAGAAATAGACAATCTCCCGGTCCCGGTTCTATTCCAATTGAATTAATTAAAGCAGGCCCAACTGAACTCAAAATGGCACTAGCAGAGAGTATGACACTTCTATTAAATGGTGGAGAGATCCCCGAAGAATGGAAGCAGGGTTATATCACTCCAGTTTTCAAAAAAGGCCAAAAGAAAGATGTTTCCAATTACAGAGATATAACGGTTACCAGATCGCTGAGTAGATTATGTGGCCGAATAATTAAAAGCAGAATCGAAAATGACTTAAAGGAAGAGATCAGCGAGGAACAGGCGGGTTTTCGAGTTGGAAGATCATGCACTGATCACATTTTTAGTCTCTCACAACTTATAGAAAAGAAGATGGCCCATGACCGTGTACTCCACATATCTGTAGATTTACACAAGGCCTACAATTCAGTACCTCTAGGGAAATTATGGAAAGTTTTAGAAGCCACATCTATTAAGAGATACCTCATCAGAGCCATTCAAGGGCTCTATAAAAATAATAATATAATGGGGGCTATGAAAATAGGAGATAGAGTGTCTAGAAGCTACCCCATTAACAAAGGATTGAAACAGAGCTGCTGCCTTTCACCCCTGATTTTTAACATTTATAAAGAACAAGCCCTTAAAGACTGAAAAAGGTCGTGCGTTGGAATGGGTGTTCAAATCGGGGATGTGGTCTATAATTTGCAGTATGCCGATGATCAAGTCATAATCGCATCGGATCCGGATGATGTGAGCTATATGATGAGGAAGTTGCTAGACACGTATTCCAGATGGGGTCTGAAAATCAGTAAAAGCAAAACAGAATGCATGGTTTTCAACGCTCCAAATTTGCCCCTTGAAATTGATGACTGAATGCTCAATGTCAGCCAACAGTTCAAGTACCTCGGATACTAGCTATCTTCAAAGGGAGGTAGTGAGGTTGACGTCAAACATAAAATAAACAATGGGAAAAGAATAATAAGTTCAATAAATTTAACCCTATGGAGTAAAGAAATAAGATTGAAAACTAAACCCAAACACAGCGATTAGAAACAAGGTCAGATGTCAAAAGAACATCCTTCACCTGATCGGGACGGACCAAAAGGTTAAAGTGGTATGGCCACTTAATGCAGATGGATGAGAACCGCTGGCCAAAAAAAATTTATAACTATATGCCACCTGAAAGAAAGAAGCATGGAACGCCAAAGAAGAAATGGATAGAGGACGTGGAGGAATGCATGGCAGCCAGAGGGCTCCATGAAGGAGATTGGATGGGGAGCAGTGGCTTTTGGGTGTTGGGGATATGACTCCTTAAGTTGTAGAAAAAGCCAAATATAAAAAAAAATAGTTCACATTAACATATTAACTAATCAACTCCATCTCTTATAAGAAATAGCACATCAATTTAAGAAGCATTATTATAGCAAGGAGTCCCAAATAGAGATGGGCAAAATTGTACTCTGAGTAAAAAGTACAATTACAGAGTAATTTACTCAAATACTCGCCCGGTTCGAGTATCGAGTACTTCAATCACTACTCGACCTCATGATTGACGAGTAGAAAAAGTAATCAGCTGTCCTCGTGAGTACTTTCTGTTTTCAAATCTACTCAGCAATATCTTACTCTGAGTACTTTTCAAAGTAATCGAGTATTTCATTATAAAAATTACAGGAGTAGAATATTTAATATTTCTTCCATATTTAAGTCCATTGTTATCTAATGGGGGTACAGTTTTTTAAAATAGTATCGATATTAATGTAAATCGATAAAATAAAGAATTATTAAAATATTTTGGATTTAATCAACTTTGGGGACCATTTTTTCTTTTTTTTTCTTCACCACTTGACTTTTATGATAATGCTGTCGGTTTTGAGATAGTGAGATAGTCCCCCAGGGGCCCGACTTTTTGTAACTTTTCAAATTATATCGACATCATGTTTAACTATTAGGTTTTGGGGGGCGCTTTTTATGTAAATAATAACAAATTTGAGATTTGGCCCCCCCGGGCCCCGACTTTTCATAACTTTTTGAATTAAATCGATATCAGGGTCGACTATTATGTTTTGGGGGGCGCTTTTTATGAAAATGATAACGAATTTGAGATTGGGCTCCCCGGACCCCAACTTTTTTTAACTTTTTGGATTAAATCGATATCAGGGTCGACTCTTATGTTTTGGGAGGCACTTTTTATGAAAATGATATCGAATTTGGGATTGGGCCCCCCGAGCCTCGACTTATTTAACTTTTTGGATCAAATCAACATCAGGGTAGACTCTTATGTTTTAGAGGGCGCTTTTTATGAAAATGATATCGAATTTGAGATTGGGCCTCACGGGCCCCGACTTTTTTTAACTTTTTGGATTAAATCGATATCAGGGTCGACTCTTATGTTTGGGGGGGCACTTTTTATGAAAATGATATCGAATTTGGGATTGGGCTCACCGAGCCTCGACTTTTATTAACTTTTTGGATCAAATCGATATCAGGGTAGACTCTTATGAAAATGATCATCCCCGAAAAATGGTCGACCCTGATATCTATTAAATCAGAAAAGTTACTAAAAGTCGGTGCCCGGGGCACTATCTGAAATCCGACATCATTTTCATAAAAAGAGCCCCCCAAAACCTAATAATTGACCCCAATATCGATCAAATCTGAAATGTTACAAAAAGTCGGGCCACGGGGTCCCAATCTCAAATCCGACATCATTTTCATAAAAAGCACCCCCCAACACCTAATAATTGACTCTAATATCGATTAAATCTGAAATGTTACAAAAAGTCGGGCCCTGGGGGCCCAATCTCAAATTCGATATCATTTTCATAAAAAGCGCCCCCCAAAACATAAGAGTCGACCCTGATATCGATTTAATCCAAAAAGTTATGAAAATTCGATGCCCGGAGGCACTATTTCAAATCCGATAGTATATTTTTATAAAAAGGGCTCCCTAAAACATGATGGTTAGTCGAATATGACCGCTATTATTGAAGGAAATAAAAATAAACATTTTTACTCTTTATAATAATGACGAAGTAGTTGAAAAATAAAAAGTACTCTTGGTAGGAATTTGGCTGAGTACTTTATGTAATTCGATATAACAGCGCCGCGTATTTTCTGTACTTAACTAAATCATGATTAACGCAGCATGAGTACTCTCAGTACTCGCCGCTGTCAGGCTGAGTACAGAAATTACTCGATACTTTTTCCTAATAAAATTACTCAAATCATGAAAGTAATCGAGTACTGCCCATCTCTAGTCCTAAAGGGGTAAGTAACTGTACATACAACACTGTCATATGACAAAGTGAGGGTAAATAATAGAGCAAGAATCTGAAATGAAATTAGAGTGATGATAAAAAGTTATTATAGCACTGCCAATTTTAATACCACCAGAGCAGTTTGAAATGTATTTAGTGGACCTATGGAATTTATTTTGACCTTCTCAATCTGGTAAGAATAGGTTTGGTTATACCTCTAAAACAGGGGTCTCCAAACTTTTTGGCCCACAGGCCACACTGAGTGAGACCTCCACTAAGCTGCAGGCCCTTGGATTGTGGTGAAAAATTTTTGTTCTATAAATGACACCAGTTAAGAAATAAGTTTTCTAAGACAAATAACTCATGCAATAAATGTTGTAGTAACCTCGTGTTTGAGTGATTTATTAAATTTTATGTTTATTAAATAATTTTTAAAATTTTACCATGTTATCTAAAAAACTTTAAAGAAGAAGTGGACTAGATCCTTCCTACGGACCATAGGTTGGAGACCCCAGCTCTAAAACAACAACCCTCTCCCCTCCAGTATGCCACAAATGGCAAGGTAGAGTGTAAATGAAAAAAAAAGTAATTAGAGGCAAAAAGTCAAGAATTCTTCGGAACTATTTGAGATTCTCAACAGATTAACAGGTAATCTAAAGAAAATGACTACTTCAAGACAGAGTTAGATGAAGATGGTCATTAGATTTTTAACAAAATTAAGAATCAATGATACAAACAAATAACCATTACTTAATTAGATTAAAAATTAGATAATTAATTGAGACGTACCCAAATCACAACATTTTGCAAGGTCATCAGAAATATAACCATTTTGCAAACCATTGCAGGTATTTTTATCATTTCCCCCCAGAGTCTCATCTTTACTTTTCGAAATACCATTGATTTCAGCAACATTCCTAAAAATTAATCAATTAGATTAAATAAGTAAGGAAGACAAATACTAAATAAGATAAATAGGAATCAAAATACTGCTACAACTTAACAAAATACATAAATGTAAATTGAACAATTATTTGATAAATTGATTTTAATAAGTATAATTAAAATATAAATTTATAACTCATAAATAAAAAATAAAAAATGTCACATTTTAAAGCAGATAATATACTAAATATACACCATGTTTTCTACCATTTTGAACATTCTTACAATAATATATACATCCACTTCAGTCTTTACTCTTTATTGTTAACATCAAGAGTCTTTGTATAAACTCTAGAAAGCTGGATGTATTTGTTAAAATGTTTTTGATACAGGAACTCTTCATCGTTTGTCAATAATTTAATTTAAGTTTTCGTATTTCATAATTTCGCAATATAGGCACAATGTGCACCAACCAATGTAGTAATGCGGGAGTAAATATTATTTTAGGTAGAAAAAATTCTATATTCCTTTTTTGCATCTCAAAAAATCCTTAAATGCAAATTTCCATAGCAATCGAAAAATTATTATTTTCTGCAAGAAATTTTTTCCTAGGTTGGCTGGATCCTTTGAAATTTTGTCAAACCACAAACATTGTGATAGCATTAAAATATACTGTTGATTATATTCAATAAAATCAAAGGTATAAGAAACCGAATGATGCATCAGAGATGGGTAATTAGTCAATTGATCAATTATAAGGATGAAAAAAATTGTCAGGAATTTCAGTCGATATTTTTATTGGGTAAGCCGACATTGATTCAAACATGTGGATCATTCTCAGAACTATCGTTTGGAAGTTGAGACAAGAACTCTGATTTCTTCTCTTGACTAAATGATAGCCCTGATGATGACCCACATGTTTGGGTAGAAATCTTGCCTTACCCAATAAAAATATCGACTGAAATTCTTGAAAACTTTTTCATCTAACTGATGCATCCAGTAAAGTTAGTCAAGTAAATTTTTGTCATAAAAAAACAATTTAGATTCATTTCCAGCATCCTTTAAAACTTTTAAATACTAATTTGTATTGAAATAAAAGATATAATTTTTTTTTACTTAATTTTATTGGAGGATTTTTATCCAACTATTCACTAAAACATTCAAAACTCCTCAGGAGTTTCTCCAAATTCAACATTATTACAACTATTGGAAACAATAATTTTTAGATTTTATGTCTCTATATGAAATAAATAAAGAAAAACTCTTCAGATATTTTTCATTAGTATATCTCCAGTTTTAATTTGTTAATGGGGTCTAGTTCATTACATTCCATGTAGTTTACAGTGCTTTAAATCCCTGCTAAGTTTCATGTGGATAGATGCGAGACATGTTGAAGTTATCACAATTTTTGTGATTTTTATAAAAAATTTAAAGGCCTAGGTGACAATTTTGAGTATTTTTTTTTTTTTTTCGACTGCTCTAAAAATTTGTGTTTAAGGGTTTGTCAAAGAATGAAATATGAACATCAATTTGGTTTCTCCTTAAGAAATATTTAATCTGATTTTACTCCTTCAATCGTGTAGAAATTGTTGCAATATTGTATTCTGACTATAACTACTTGCACTTAAACTATAAAATATAGTTTTTTTTATAATATTTACATTACAGTTATAAATTATAGTTACTTTTTCAATAATCTACAACATAATTTTTGGAACAATAATTTATTTAAATGAAAGTTGAACATATAATCAAAAACATAGATCTCACCTATATGGTTTGGTTGACTGAATAACAGAAGTGTGGGCAGCAATGTGCCTTGTATTATTATCTATATCACTTCCATTCACCATCTCTATAAATTGCCTACATTTTAAAAGAAATAATAAATTAGGTCTACTTTCTAATAAGCCAGGATACAGCCTCCATGTTAGGTCAATAGCTTCTCCCATACGGCCAGCAAGAATAAGTTTTAAAATTTCTGAAACAAACAGATTTCATTAGAAGAGAAAATGAAAATAATACAACAAAAAATAGCATTATTTGCTCATAAACATTTAAAAAAATAATAAGAATTTAATAAAGCATTACATTTAGATATTTCACTTATTTAAATTATTAATAAGTGAATATATTAAATTTAAGCAAATAAGAATAGGAACCAAATTAATAAATATAAGAGTTTAAATAAAGGTGTTTTTATCAAAAACTGCACAGAAAATAAAAATTCAGAATTAGATTTAGAAAAAATAAATGCAAAGATATATGTCAATAGTATAAAATTATTTCCACTTAGTAAACTGAAACCTTTGACTATTAAAGGAAGTAAGGGGTGATAAATATTGGAACATGTCATGATACACTTAATACAAATAAAAAAATATCCTAAGTAGTTAGCTACTAAGTTGAACAAGGGAGGGGGGTTATGAATGTAGGGTCACCGATTTCAATAAATCATTTTTTAGTAGTATTAGGTCAAAAACTAGAGTAACAATTCCAAGAGCTATTGACTGGTGACCAAGGCAACGTAAATGGAACAGAAATAATACCACATAGTGAAGCAGAATATGGATGGAAAGAAGAAATACCGCTGGAAGATTTGAAAGAAGTGATTGGTCAGGGTGGCTACCAAATTATCAGTGTAAAATTCCCTATTTAATGAAAGTTTTCCCTGACCAATATGTCAGGGGACAAAAACGTTAAAAATGTATAGTTTATAACTATAAGTAAATATGAAATTTATAACTATTTAATTTATCATACATGATTGAAAATTGAAAGATTAGAGTAAAAAAAAAGTCTGTTCGGTCTTTTAAAAAAAATACATATCTAATGTTCTAGAGGAAGCAATTTTTAAACTTGATTGGGATTTTTTATTTTTATTTTAGAAAACTAAACTTCAGATAATTTATTTTTATTGCCTACTTACTAATACTTCAAGCACTTTATTTTCATGTGAGAGAATGTAAAAGTTGATACTTGACGCTTTCATCTATTAAAATAAACTGAGCTACGGCCAATTCTTATTTTAATGTAGCTTCACATTATCCCTCGATAAATTAATGAGAGAACGTAAAAAATTATTTATTAAAATAAGATTTTTCCTAAGTTGGAACAGCGATGTGGTTTTATAGTTTATAACAATATTGAACGACATATAATAATCAAGGCTACAGCTTACATTTAAAATTTCTTCGAATTACAATATCGTATATAACAGTTATAACGATGTATCGGCTTTAACGACAAAAATGCCATGATCGATGATTCAGATGGCTTTTATAACATGATTTTGAATGGATATACTGACCCGATTCCTTAAGAGTTTTTAGAAAAATGATCGTATATAGTGACAGTTGAACTCCTAAAAACCTTCGTTTGTTTATATCTCACTTATCAAGGAAATATTTTATTTCATTCGTTCTCTATGTAAGAATCACATTTATAAGACCAATTTCATTCCCAATCTTAGTGTTAAATTCATATTACTTCGCCTTCTGGCAGTGTCTTTGGGTTTTTGTAATTTTATAATACATTACAATTTGTATGGATGGCAGTGGATCAGTTGATGCAAAGGTTGTGTTCTCAACTCAGCTCTCAGTTTTTGCCTATTTTTCAGCGGAATCTCTCTGATTATTCACTGAATACAGTTCAAGTGTACATCAGAGCAGTTCATATTTACTGTTTGATATCTTTTTTTTCACTTTTTCTTTTTCTTCTCTTATGATATGCGGTATCATCACCAAGTGATTCCCAGTAAGGTGTCCACTAAAAGGACTCGGACAGACGTCGTCAGTACCTCTCGTGGTTCGCCAGCCAAACAAAGAACTCATCGCTGCCTACGAGAAACACTTCTAAGAACCACAGTAAACACTTCAGATCCAGAACCTCAGCCCCAACCAGGTACGTCTTCGCAAGAAATGGTTGAAGAATCCCCTTTCTCCAAACCCATTCGATGTGCTTCAAAATGTAAGGGAAGAAATGGAATCTGCAGCAATACCCAAGAAAAGAAGGCCTCCTCCGATATTTGTAAAAAATTTCCAACTATTGTGTACACAACTAAAGGAAATCTACTCCGACAATTATCCTTGCCTTAACAGGACCAACGATACAAAAATAATACCAGACACTGCAGAAACCTACCGAAAAATAGTGAAGTACCTGTCAGAAATGAATGCAAATTTTCATACGTACCAGCTGAGGCAAGAGAGATTGTTACGAGAGGCGTTTTGACGGTCCAACGTAACTATCGTTTTGAAGAAAAATAAGGAGAAGCCAGAAACAAAAAATAAAGTTCCATTACCTTATTTTTCGTTGGACCTAGAGTCATCACCTGTATCGAGAAAATTTATGAAATCAAGAGATTGTACTACCCTATCGTGAAGATAGCGAAACCATACCTCAAGAGGGAAATCCTGCAATGCCACAATTACCAGGCTTACGGCCAACGAAGACTTATTCCCACTACTTGCCACATTGCGTGAAATGTGGTGAATGACACAAATCAGCAGAGTGTACCGAACCGATACAAGATCCTGCAGTTTGTGCTCTATGCCTAGAGGGACACCCGGCCAACTACGAAGGCTGCTAAACTTATAACAACCTCAAATCCAGATACCAGAGGACCCAGCTTCAAGATGAGACAACCAGACCAAAAGGAAAACCTTCTAGAATAGTGAATAATAATATTTCCGCTGATATTCTCCGAACTACTTGGAGGTAAGATCCAAACTAAGAAATGTGAAGCCCTGCCGCAGCAATTGCCTCAACCCCAACCTCAATATCCCTAATCTTTTATTTTTTTTTTTTTCCTCCCCTTCCTAAGGCTATATGGGGCTTTCCCGGGCCAGGGGGTGTGGGTGGGGATTTAAAAGACCCCCGGCACCGGGGCGCGAACTCGTGACTATTTTAAATCCATTTGTCTCATAGATCAGGTTGTATCATACTCCACTACTTGGAGGTAAGAACCCAACTAATACATGTGAAGCCTGCCGTAGCAACTTCCTCAACCTCCACTTGAATATCCTGTTCATCCTAACATACCTAACCATCAACAACCTCAAATTCCTCCTCCCCACAAATCTCACCAGTTTGTTGTCATCATTCCTCATTGAATTCAAATCAATGACTACCCCACTCATATCACTCCTTACAAATCTCGTATTTCACCTCATCGCTCCTGTAAAAAATCCTTAAATGACTCCCATCAAACACATATCTATTCTCATGGTATTAGAAATCACGTCGACGAACTAACAGCTTTACTACTTAACAAGAACATTGATGTAGCACTAATTACAGAAACTCGACTGACCAGAAAACAGCTTTTAACAATTCCACGGTATATAACATACCGTACTGACCATCCTGAAGCACATGCCGGTACTGCTGTCATCTTACACCAATCCCTCTCTCATCACTTACTCCCATTACCTACTCAAGATTTCCGACAATCAACTGCTATCGTAATCAAAACCTCCTATCAAGTCACTCTTGCATCAGCATATTGCCCTCCTAACAGAACCATATTCTAAGTCCAGTTCAGTTCTCTGCTAAACTCCTTAGGTCATCACTTCATCCTGGGTGCAGACTTAAATGCCATGCATCGAGGATGTGGTTTAAGAACCACGAATTCTAGTGGCAGAGCATTGCTGTCTGCACTCAATTCCCAATGTCTTACTCTCCTTCCACCCAAGTCCCCTACCTACAGGCTCACTGATCCTAACCGCAATCCTGACATCCTTTATTTTTTCATCCACAGCGGTTTAGGTCCCCTCAATCATTTGCTTACCTGTCTTGATGAACTTTCCTCAGATCACAGTCCATTAATACTTCAATTATCAATAGCTCCTATTCCTAAACCTCCAACACCGGCCTTCATCAGAGGCCCAGTTAACTGAAAAATTCTCTAAATTCCATCAGAACCTTACAAATCATCCAAATCCGCTTGCGCAATCCCTATCTAATTCCACTCATCCCTATAATCCTCCTCAAAGGTTGAAGCGGCAGTGGCCCCGAGAACTTTTGTAGTATATATCTCACTCTTGCTCAATCTCCACTGGCTTTAGCACCAGTGACGTAGTGCAGGGATCTCTTGGAGTCCTGCTTTTCTCTCTATAGTTGGAGGGACAAGTCTGGCTTGGGGTTCCCGACCTGATTGTATACATTGTATGTAGGTATGACTGAGTTTTTGTTTTTAATTTACATATCTTTAAGTTATTTTATTTTTTACTGTATATAGTTGTTTGATTATTATTTAGTTATTATTTTACTTCTGTTAATTTTATGTTTTCTGTATATATGGTGTGAATGTGTTCATATCTCACTATAATTATTGTCAACGTGACAGATTATCATATTTCTAAATAAATAAATTTAAAAAAATAAAGAATTTGTTTAATGCAATTGGCACAAAAAAAACCAATTGAATGATATATAATAACTTATGAATCAATGCAGAGCAAAATCAGAAAATAATAACATAAAAAATTTAAATTTTATAAAATATATTTTTCTTGGCTCCTATGGCGCATAAGCAAGAGCCCTCAGACATAGGTATAATATTTTTCGCCCTAGTATCACCAACAAAGGTTTCACTGAAATTGGTGACCCCAAGTCTATAACCTCTTCTTGTAAGTATTAAAAAAGGAACAATATTATAATATAACATTAGCAGATAGAGCTGGCATTAAATACTCAAAAATACAGCAGAGAAATCTAATACATGGATCTTTATTATAACAAACAAGTCAATACAAATATGACTGAGAGGTGCAAAAGTTTTGAGAACAATCTTAACAAGAAAAATAAACATCTACAGCATGGTAGCCAAAATCAATAAAAATAGTCTGGTGTGGTGCGCCCATCACATAGCTTTCACTTACCACCCTCTTAGCAGAAATAAGTATTTCCAGACAAAGGGCAAGTGAAAGTAAAAATTATAAACGCTATATTGATTTATATTTCATTGTGGGTATTTTTATTTGTATAAGTACCCATATAAATACAAATTTTAATATTTATACCGCTGTAATCTATACAATTAAATATTAAATAATACCAACAATAGTATTTGTTGACGCCAACATGTGATTATTTTTATTTATTTTCACTATATCATAATATGGGGGGTTATTTTTATTGTTTTTATAAATGTCATAGATTATTTATTTAATTTAATTTTGGTTCCATATCATTATATGGTAAACCTGTTTATTTGTATAATTACATTACTAAATATTATATGTCCAAGCTCTTTATATTTTGTACTATCCAAGAAGTCCCAACGATGATGTTTTCGCCCACTTCCGTAGACATACAACGAAGAGTACATATATGTCGTGCGTCAGAAGACTACAGATACTAAATATGACTGGCCGGCTGGAGGTTATATTTTATTTTAATATATGAACAGTTTAAAGGTGAGTGGCATCACTTTAAAATACATTTAATGACTCCACGGCTCTCCAGTTTCAATAACAAGTGAAGCAAAACATTATTTTTTTAAATTTTAAAACCTTCTATTAAGGCTAACTTGAACTTGAATACTAATTCATATTCAATAATCAGAAGCATCCTAGCCTCCAACAGTTACCATTCCTGGTTCAAGACTGGTTCCACTATATATATTTTTTTCTCTTTTTTATTATATAAAATATCAATTTTAAATTTATATAAATTTTCTGCACCACATTTCAATCATTCAACTGATTTAAAATTTAAATTAAATTCACTTTCATTAAATCTTATATTGATAGATTTGTAAATTTAATTTTAAGATTCTTTGTTTAATGTTTCAAGTATTTTTTTATTTCTCTCATTATTTAATTATTATTTTTGTATTAAGAGAAATATTATTAATTTTAATTCATTAATTTCTTTTGTAGTACATTTCAATTCATTTATTTTGTGGCATGTTCATTTAATTTGTTTATTATTTTCAATACAATTATAGAATTACTGCTATTCAGCATTTTATTTATCCTCAATGGATTTAATTATTTTAAATTAATTAATTAATAAGGCTACAGTGCATATAGATTCGGTTGTGCACAATTGGCTGTTCACACATGAAAGCCCGCTGCCACCACAGTATTTATGAAAACTGCATATGTATATTTATATAATATTGTTGGAGTCCTTATTATATTAAGCTCATGTTAGGTATGTAAGCATGTTATTATCTTGAAGGGCAAGCTCGGGTCCACTCGTATTCCTTTGGTTCCTCAATTACAACTATTCTCTGTTATGATCTCTTATTTCTTCTTTAGTTAATTATCAAATTTATTCATATTTTATATTTAACTATCTTTTATATAATAAATTAATGTGAAATGGTGAATTGTTTCAAATATCCGTACATATATTATTACAGTAAGGCTCGAAATCGGTTTTGTACCAAATATAAGCTCCTGTCATGCTCAAATACCACGAATGGGGTACTGTTGGATTCAGAATTTCACGGGAGGTTAGCGAATCGTGTTCTCCACTTTTGTTTTTCTTTCTAAAATAAATAAAGTCGATACAAACATTTTGCTAGGCTTCGATACTGGAACGGTGGTAGGTCTGTAGATCAATACGGGAAAAATTGGATCTTAAAGATTTTGATGCGTACAGCAAGACCCGGATAGTTCTTTCGGAACTATCGGATCCTGCGTTTTTAAGCCGAAAAACGTACTATTTTCGAGATAACGCAAGGCATAGGGTTCGCATCCACACAATCTTACATTAATTGTAGTACTGTCATTGAATACATGTCTCATTTCGTCGACTTGAGGTCTCTATGATCGAGACAGGGGGAGTTTATATTATTCATCGATGGTGTTTTTGATCGGCAAGCCATATCATCGTTAATTTTTCACCAAATCTCAAGATTGAGCCACCAATTTCGAAGGCTTCCTTCTCCTTCAGGCTGGCAAAATAGTCCAATCACCCAGAAAATTCGGGCAAACAAGTTATGAAATAAACTTTATTTGCGAATAACTGAAAAATTACACACTTTTCTCTTAGTTATGCCCATAATTATATAAAAAATTACTAAATTCCCTACAAAAAGAAAAAAAAATCATCGCAATCGGACAATTTTTAGCAAATATACAGCTTACTGAAATTTGTATACATGTTGGTTCCAAACAAAAATGAAGATTTAAATTAATTTTTGTTTGCTTTGTGGATTATATTTATCGATAAAGTAACATTTGATGTCTTAATCTTTTGATAAGTTGCATTTTCTTATTTTCTTATTAATTTGTCGAAATTAACAATATGCTGTGCGAATTTTTCGCACGGGCCTACTAGAAAAAAATTAAAGGTACTTTAGGGGAAGCTAATAGTGAAAATTAGCCATTTAAGCTGTGTTAGTGAACATCAATCAGAATAAAACCTAGATTTTATTTAAAACTGCTTAATTTTACACTGATATAATGAATTTAATCAAAAATATTAGAGCTGTTTTTGAGAAAATTGAAAAAATATGTTTAGTCCATAATATAAAGTTCCACTACCGGTAAGCCAATTTTGAAAATAAAAGTTGCTGTAACATCCCAAGTCTATAAAAAGCTTAAATATGCAATTTCACTTTTGTACGACTTTTTGTTTATGAGCTAGACTGTGGATACACACAGACAATTTTGTGGGACTTGGTTATTTCGACCCAGGGGACCTCAAAATATGTAGTTCTGTTGAAAACTCTGATTCAAAAATTTTCATGATCGCAATACTTTCCCTTATTATATATTGCATACATAGGTAAGTGAATGTAAAAAAATTTAACAATAAAAATTATTATCCATAACTGTAACAAGTTGTAGATGAAAAGTTACCTAACATAAAATGGAAAAATAACATATTTAATATAAGTACCAAAAAATTCAAATAATTTAAGAGCACTGGTACAATATATAGAAGGGAAAATAATACCCAAAAGAAAAGCAACCAAAGGAAAAAGCATGGCAGTATGACCGAGTTCGAGACAAACAGACAAAAATCGCATTAATTGAGTATTACAGATATATTAATTAATGAATATGCATGAAATGTACTTAATTTATATTAAAATTTGTAATAAGAATACTTCATAACAAAAAAGTGAGGATATAAAACAATTATGAAAACTTCACTAATTAAGGGTTAATTCATTTTAGGCCAACACGTGTCTATGCCTTTGAATGTTCAAGAATGGAATGTGTTAGTAGGGATATTTGAATGAGACTGTGTGTATGAATGATCTGGCAATAGGTTGTGAGTATAGAATAATTAAAACAAAAATGAATATCATACTTTGTCTATTTTTTATTGATGTTATTTCTTCATTAAACTCCTGACCTGTACTAGAAGCAAAAGCTTCAGCGGTAGAACAATACCCATGATGAACTAAATAAGAAGATACCAACCTAGAAAATTAAGGAATGATTTAATTTACATAAAGTAATCAACAATTGAAATCAATACCCAATTTAATATATATATATATATATATATATATATATATATATATATATATATATATATATATATATATATATATATATATATATATATTAATGTATATAAATAAACATATTTACAATTTAATGTATTAAATATAAATATATATTTATATTACATTTAATACATACATAATATATATTTAACCTGAGTTTAATAGAAATTAACAATTAATAAACAGAACTTTTTCTGCATAATAGCTTATCATAGATACCTCTGTAATATTAATTGGTGTTCACCATAACTGTCAGGTATTGGAAAATTTTCGATAGTCAACTTTGTCCTAGCTCTCAATTCTTTCATCATATCTTCAACATCAAATACAAATGGAGCTTGACCAAAATTCGCATCAACCACTTCACCAGGTGTCTGTAAGCCAACTGTAGGATACAGGTTACCCTAAATAGAATAACATTCATTAAAAAAAACTCTATTTACATATTACTCTAGTATTTGAAATATAAATTTACAAACAGGTAAGTCTGTGAACGCAACTCCCAAATTATGACCATTTTTGGTATAAAAGCAAGTATTGTCAATCAAATTAACTCCACAACCTATAACATCTCCTGTAGTAAACGTAGGGCCATATGGAAGACCAGTTCCAGAAGAACAAAATGAATGACCATCATCCCCATGATAACCATAAGAATGTTTATCCCAACCTAAAAAATAATTATTCATTATAAAATGTTATAATATGCATACATTAAGAAACCATTGTTGTGTTTTCCGACATTTATTTTCTAATCTCTACCCCAGTACTTCAATTTTATTTTAAGATTTCATTAAAAATTATGAAACAATCTAGTACTTCAATTTCATTTTAAGATTCCATTAAAAATTATGAAACAATCTAACATTATAAACAGACGATAATTATTTATGTAGACAAATTAAGTTATGACAGTTTATTCACGCATCAATAAGAAAAAAAAGTGTTGAAAAAAGTAGAGGAATATGGTAACTAAATTACAATATACTGCTCAATTAAGGCTAAATCAAACGGAGGATAGATTGCCTACATAGACAGAGCTACCAGTCCAAAATGAAATTTTTGTTATGTATGATTGCATGGTACTGATCAGGAAAAAAGGTAGTCTGCCACAGCAGATAGATAAAAACTTAAAATTTGTATAAGTATGTGCAAACTAAAATGGCTGATGAGACAGAAAAATTAATGGAACTTGTGTTTTTTTCTTATAAGAGCACTCATCATCCTGACTGTGCAACACAGTGTGATAAAGAAAGCAGAAGCATGGAGATATATCTCAGAGTATAGGCAAGAAGGATACAATTAAGATAGGACACTCTTACCAACTCGAGAAAACAAAATGATGGAGATCAGACCCCAAAAATGCTGACAAATACAAGAAATAGATCTTGAACCTAAAATATGACCAGCCTATTTTTTAAATTTAGGTCCTTTCTCTAATATTTTTGTTAGTGTAAGGTTAAGTGAAGGTTCAAGGTAGAATAATTTTTAATAAATTTATAATAGCCCAAGAAACTATAAAAATACTTCTATAAAGTTATTCTTCTATAAAGGAACTTAGGCAGAGAAAAAAAAATTTAACTTTCGCTATATCAAGATATATTTCTTTTTACATATTAAACACTTGCAAGTTAAATAAAAATTAACCTCAAATCGCAAAGAAAAAATTAACAAACAATTACATAACAAAATGTGATTAAATAATATAATAATCAATTTTTCAGCATGAACAACAGTATTTGGTAAAATAGCAAGAAGACACTCTAAAACTAGAAGAGTAAACAGTAAGAACCAAAATAATATTTAAATCAAATAAAAAACTAAAATTTTCTAATACCAAAAAAAAAAAAAGATAATGTAATTGCTATTAAATGTGTAAAATTTTATGAAATAATGTATATGTATATATATAATATACATATGACAATAATTCGATATTTTCAAGCAGTTTGAGATTAAAATAACCATATTTTATCTATGTTGCTCTAAAAAGAAGATATTTAGGATAAACCAAAAAAAAAAACAGCTCGAAATTTCAATGGTTTTTGGAGCACTGCAGCGAACCCACAAGGCTTTCTAGTGCAGAAATTGGATTTTCTATATTCACTCCACACCTAACAATATAAAAAAGAAATTTTAATTACCCAACCTTTTGCAAAGTAACATTTCTAATTTGACTGGGAACCTTCCAACAATACAGCATCTTATAGACCAATTAGCCTACTCCCAATCCTCTCAAAAATTTTTAAAAAGCTCCTACTGAAACGAATCCTACCAATAATCGAATCCTATAACCTTCCTACTTATCAATTCGGATTTCGTTCCCAGCATTCCACTGTCCAACAAGGACTCCGAGTTGTTGACCAAATATCCTCAACCCTAGAAAGTAAGCAGTATTGCTCGGGTGCATTTCTGGACATAGCGCAAGCTTTTGACTGGGTATGGCACGCCGGATTACTCTTCAAGCTTAAAATCCACCTACCACAGTCCTTATACCTAGTACTCCGATCCTATCTTTCCGACCGCTCCTTCTGAGTTCGCTGTGGCACCGAATTCTCCGACTGTTACTGAATTGAGGCTGGCGTTCCTCAAGGCAGCATCTTGGACTCCATCTTTTACATTCTCTTTACCGCTGATATTCCTGTACATCCCGATACCCTCCTGGCAACTTTCGCTGATGACACTGCTATCCTTTCTTCCAACTCAGATCCTGAAACAGTGTCCGCAAACTTACAAGGCACCTCTTCCTGATTGAACACTGGTGTAAGAAATGGCGCATCAAGGTAAACGAATCTAAATGTAAACACATTACCTTCACCCTTCGTCGTAATACCTGCCCACCAGTTTATTTGAACTCCATTCAGCTTCCTTTCTCAGATACAGTCCGGTATCTTGGCTTTCTCTTAGACAGACGACTAACATGGAATCCACATACTAGACTTAAAAGACAGGAACTTAACAGACGATATGGCCAGCTATATAGACTACTGAATAGAAAATCTAAACTTTCTGGTGAAAACAAATTACTGATCTACAAGACAATACTGAAACCCATCTGGACTTACGGACTAGAACTATGGGGAACAGCTAAATTTTCTAACATCAAACGCATTCAATCCTTTCAGTCAAAAGTCCTCCGTACAATAGTCGATGCTCCCTTCTATGTAACCAATAAAACCCTGCATAATGACCTTAATATCCCATTTATTCTTGATCTTATCCCAGCCAAATTTTCCAAAGTTCACCAGAACCTTTCTCATCACCCAAATCCCATTGTACAATCCCTATCAAGCACCACCCATCCCTACAATCCCATTCGTAGGTTAAAGTGGCAGTGGCCACAAGACCTTTTGTAAATATGGATATTTTGGAGTTCTAGCCATGGCCAGATTCTCCACTCAAGTCATGAGTGTCTGTGGCTGTAGCGCTCTTACTCATCCTCCGCTGGTCTTAAATACCAGTGAAGTGGCTGAGGGAGAAGCGTATGGATCTCCTAAGCCTCCCTTTTCCCTCCACATGTGGAGGGGACAGGATTGGTTCAGAGATCACCTGGCTAATTGTAAATATTTATATAGGTATGTTTTATCTAGGTATTTGTTTTACTTTTATTTCTATTTTTACTTACTTATGTGTATATATATTTTTTTTTTCTTTTTTCTTCTTTTGTTCTTTTTTCTTATTCTTTTGTTATTACTTTATTTATTTATATTTTTGTATATACGGTATGAATGTACTCAACACAGAGCAAAACCAGTGAAGGAAAGGTTGAGGCGTTCAGCTGCAGAATATTAGCAAATGTGGCTTACTCACCAGACTTAGCTCCATCCAACTACTATTTATTTGCATCAATGAAGCACACACTTGTTCACCACTGCCTCCCTTCTTATGAAAATATCTTGATGAATGATCCATTCAAAACAAACAGTTTTTCAGACATGACATACATAAATTGCCAAAAGAGATAGAAAAACTCTATAGCTAGTAATGTACTGAATAATATTTTGAATAAAATATTTACTAACATTTTATGCAATAAACGAGTATTTTCTGAATGAAAATTGTGATATAATATTTACACGCATGGTACAAAAGCAAGTATTATCTAAGAATATCAAAACCAGCCACCTGGAAGCCGATTCATATTTACACCCTGAGCTGATAATCCTATTCCCATGTATCCATCACGTCCTTTACTAACAATTTTTACTTCAAAGTAATATAAACCACAGGCTGCAGGAATAGGATGAGTTGCTCTAACACTAGCAGCATCTTTGTGAGTTTTACCATGCCCTAGAACATTAAAGAAATAAATAAATTATGTTTAAATATGTAATAATTCAGTAAAAATGTTGACAACACAGATATCGTTTATTTAAATTTGTTTCATATTTATAGCAATCACAAATCTCATAAATAAATAATAGTATTTACAGACTGTATTGCATTGGTACTGTACATTTTCGTAAGGACACCAGTAATACTGAGAAACTTTCTTCTGCAATAACATTATTAATGGTTTCTAAATTTATTATTGCTTAATTTTGCGTGTTTGCTTACAAAGTTGATAATTTTTATCAAGATCAGCATACCATATAATATGCTAATGTGATGATATATGCAATTAGTTGGCTTAGGTTAGAGAAATTACAGAAATGTTGTCACCTACCAAATGAAGACTAATTAGTCTGTGGGCCAGACCCCCTTACCATGCACCCCCTCCCCCCCCACATCCCTATAAATTGCATATCTTTGTGTTCCTTGTAACTATTTATTAAAAAAAAGCCAATGTTCCCACAAAAAAAAGTGAACGCACTGCCCCAAAATAGCGTCCAAAGATGGCGGTGTGACGACATTGACTTTAGTTAGTTTTTTGGTCACTGAGAATCAGCATTTGGGTTAATTTCCTCATAGTTGGTCTTTTATTAAAGCTGAATAGTTATAGAATAATAAAACATGAAGAAATATTAAAAAAATAATTGGCTTAGGCTATTAAAAACACCAGTAAAGTCAATTTTTTCAACAAAAAAAGTTTCAAGTTACAAATCAAGCGTCGTTTGTAATTAAACGGCATACAATAACGCAAAAAGTGCTGAAATAAACCATCTGGAGAATATATTTCTCTTTCTAAAACGCTGATTATTTTTTAGAAATGTTTAAGCAGTTCCGTAGAAAATGTACTTATGCGGCAGAAAAGCGGTACTGGCGTGGGTGCCTACAGGCCTCTACCACACCATTCAGTGCCCATAAATGGCTTAGTTATAGTGATATAATAATATTTTTGGTACATTATATTGATTTTATTAATGAACAAATATTAATCCAATAATTTAATTGTAAAAAAAAAATTTATTATTATTTTTTTTTAATTTAACCTCCTTTATTCTATACGTAGGTCGTTTAAGAAGACATCAATTGTAAAAATGATATAATTATAATAATAAAACTTAATTAAAAAATACTTTGCTAAATATCTTGATTTTTTTTATTTAACGTTGCAATTCAACACTGTGTTTTGTATATTTACTGATTCTTAGAGGTAATTAAAAATTTTATATACTTCCCAGGAAATGAGTCATATTAATACCTGTTTTATAAAGTAAAATAATATATACCTAATCTGAACTATATATAATGAATAGCTACCGGGTTGTTTATTAAAACTCATATATCACTAATTAAAAAATTAATTTTTATTTCCTTTATTTTGTGCAGAAGTTGGACTATATCATAAATAAATAGGAAATTTTAATATTGAATGAATTATTCTCTATGCACAAAGAAAGATACAATGCACAAAGTGGACGATGTAGGTTTATTATGGTGAAGACCACTTTATTTTTGGTTGTTGAAGGTGCACATCGGGACTATATTAACTTTGAAGCAGGATATAGAGAGGTATATCCAGAAAGTTATAGCTCATAGCTTTCCTTCTGTTTAGTGCCTTTGCAAAAGATTTTTTAAGAAATCTTATATTAGTTATAGCTCGTTATCGTTCAGAAATTGCGGAATAAATTCTTCAGAATTTGTACCATATTATAAAAAAAAAGGAAATTTTAATATGGAATGTATTATTCTCTCTGCACAAAGAAAGATGGAAAGGGCGAAACCGAATTGCTTTGACAGTTTTGCGTGTACATAGGCAACAAGCATATTAGAAAATAATATGAAAGAACTGTGGTTTTTACCTTTACAAGAAAGGAGGTACTAGGAAATGTAATACCCATCAAGATCCATTCCTGTTTATTGTACCAAACAAATTATACTCAAGAATCGTAGAAGCTGGAATAAGAAATATTGTCGATTGCCAGAGTGATATGGATTGAGAAACTCAAGTTGTACATTGGAAGAGAAGTTGAAAATTGGGACTGTCTTCACTTTAAGGCAGGTTATAGAGAAGTCCACATACAAAGAAAAATAGCTCTCTATCTGCTTAGTGCCTCATACTTTGGAGTATGCTAATATCTAACTGTCTTTCAGAAAAGCTCGTTTTCCTTTTAGATTCCTTAAAAAATCTTTTGGAAATGCACTAAACAGAATGAGAGCTATGAGATATACCTTCCTATATGCTGCTTCAAAGTGAAGATAGTCCCGATATGCACCTTCAGCAACCGAAAATAATATGGTTTTCACCATAATAAACCTACATCATCCACTTAGTATCATCCAAACTGCAATTGACCCAGTTTTAGCAGCATCTTGAAATATTCTGTTCATCTGTCTACTATACATTCATTTAGCTATATAATGGATACTGGTCCTTTTTATCTATTCCGAGGTTTTGGTACTTCCTTTCTCGTTCGCTTAATGTATTATACGCGTTTTTCTTCATTTCGAGATCAAATCCAAACAATCAGTTTTGGTTTATAGTTAGGGTCACCCTTTCTATCTTTCTTTATGCATAGAGAATAATTCGTTTAATATTAAAATTTCCTATATATTTATGATATAGCCCAACTTCTGCACAAAATAAAGGAAATAAAATTAATTAAATTAATTTTAATTAAAATTAAAATTAATTAGTGATATATGAGTTTTACTAAACAACCCGGTAGCTATTCATTATATATAGTTCAGATTAGGTATATATTATTTTACTTTATAAAACAGGTATTAATATGACTCATTTCCTGGGAAGTATATAAAACTTTTAATTACCTCTAAGAATCAGTAAATATACAAAACACAGTGTTAAATTGCAATGTTAAATAAAAAAAAATCAAGATATTTAGCAATGTATTTTTTAATTAAGTTTTATTATTATAATTATATTATTTTTTCAATTGATGTCTTCTTAAACGACCTACGTATAGAATAAAGGAGGTTAAATTAAAAAAAATAATAATAATAAATTTTTTTTTTTACAATTAAATTATTGCATTAATATTTGTTCGTTAATAAAATCAATATAATGTACCAAAAATGTTATTATATCACTATAACTAAGCCATTTATGGGCACTGAATGGTGTGGTAGAGGCCTGTAGGCACCCACGCCAGTATCCGCTTTTCTGCCGCATAAGTACATTTTCTACGGAACTGCTTAAACATTTCTAAAAAATAATCAGCGTTTTAGAAAGAGAAATATATTCTCCAGATGGTTTATTTCAGCACGTTTTGCGTTATTGTAGGTCGTTTAATTACAAACGACGCTTGATTTGTAACTTGAAATTTTTTTTGTTGAAAAAATTGACTTTACTGGTGTTTTTCATGGCTTAAGTCAATTATTTTTTAATATTTTTTCATGTTTTATTATTCTATAACTATTCAGCTTTAATAAAAGACCAACTATGAGGAAATTAAGCCAAATGTTGATTCTCAGTGACCAAAAAACTAACTAAAGTCAAAGTCGTCAATCCGCCATCTGTGGACACCATTTTGGGGCAGTGCGTTCGCTTTTTTTTTAATAAATATTTACTAGGAACACAACGATATGCAATTTATAGGGATGTGGGGGGGGTGCACGGTAAGGGAGTCTGGCCCACCGTGTAAATCTTGTCTTCCGATTTCCTTCCCCTTTACAGTTAACAATTATCTACGGATTAAAACAAAATTTATTGCTGTTAATAACCTTTAGAAAACAGATACATCTGTAAAAATATAGCTAGATGCAATTAATCTTAACATCAAAATATTATTTATAATATACAAGTATCTATGATGCCAATAACGAATGCAGGGATATTATACACTATTACAGTAAATCATAAGTATAAATGATTATGAGTAAAAACATTTACACATTTAAATTATATTTCAAATATTTATGTTTATGAAATATAAAAAACTAATTATAAATATGTAAAACAAAAAGGGAAAACCATAAAAAAAAATTTAAAAATACAGCAATATTCAGATAAATAAGGTTTGTGTCTGGGTGGATATCAGAGACTGATCAAAAATCTTGGGGTTCACATAATTTCTAATTCTCATATATTAATAAAGGGCTTGACCAACCTAAAAGTTCAATGCTAATGCCACCAATCGCTGCCCACACACTTCCATCCACCGAATGCCGTCCAAACCCAACCATGCAAGATTAACCTTAACGCAATCTTCAGACCTTCATTTTGGTTTAACACTCTCGGATGCTTCCAGACAGCATATTAACCTTCTAGGGATTCACTCAAAACTAAGCTCAATAATTTTATATCCCCATTTTGTTACCACAAAGCAATCATCTCAATTATATTAACCAGGCACATTTCACACAATTTCAATCCAAATACTTTTCACAATACTCTATTTTCAAAAACCCAAAGTGTTTTTCATTCCGTAATATAAGCTACCACTTTTTGCATCTGTAAAGAATTTTAGGAAGCATAATAGTTTTATAATTTCTAATTTTTAAAATTTAGGGTAGAAGGAGCAAGATAATTAATTTTGCAATAAACAAATAACAACCAATTCCAGTCTTTAAACTAGACTTAATTCCCTTATTAACTCTGCTTTATTTTGTTATCCTCAAAACTGAAATAACTAAAATTTTGCTGCTTCTGCAACTAACCATATATTTTGTTTTATCTATATTTATCGCAAGCCCCAGTTCTTAACTGGCTTTTGCTACATTATTGTCTTTAGATTTAGATTTTCCACTTCTTCACTTAAAGGTACTATTTCACTGATATTGCCCACCACGCCGACTGCTGGCGAAAAAACTGAAAGCTGCTTTAGTGGAATAGAAAGGAGCCTATTTTGTTGACACTGCTCGGCACCCTAGGTATGGCGTCACATCTATAATGCTCCTTTCTGACTGCTTCTGAAGCAGTGAAACTGTTGGCATTACAATGGTTACAGAGTATGTTATCATATCGGAGTATTGTTTTGATGATAACAGTCACTTTGATATGTTTCATTTCTTGTTTCTCTTTTTTTTATTTTATTATTTTTTTTTTTATCAAGTCTAGCAAAATTAAATGAAATATTGTTTAAAATTTAAACAAAGCTATAGTGAATAATTTTTTTAAGGTTGAAGTAACAAGATTATTTATTTATTTATTCCACCAAAAGTATTTTTAGAAATTTAAATATATCTAAATCCAAATGACGCTAAATAAAATAAATAATCTAACAAGTTTTAACATGAGGTAAATATTAAAATCCCATTGAAAAATCAATTTGTATTTTTTTTATTGAAGTGCTAATTTACTGATTACCTATTGATAAAATGGTAAAACATTGCCTGCTGTGATTTCATTACAGTCATTTATTACCAATTAATTATGTAATAATTACTATTACTTATCAAATTAACAATTAGTAATAAATCTAAAATCAGAGATATAACATCAGTTCTTAAAATAATATTTAACCATCTTATTTCATTTTATCATGAATAACTATATTTTATATTCAAAATATTACAAGAAACTATCATTTTGTAGAAGGTTAATATGTACACATATGTACATATTAATATGTACACAATGGTTAACAGTTTATAGTATAGACAACCTAACCTTGTTATTCAATTTAATAATGTAATGTAATTCAATAACAACCAGATAAAATGTTGTGTATTAATTAAATAAGATTGAAACTCTGCCATCATATGTATTACTATCCTTTTGATACAAATAAAACCATTTAATTTAAGCTAACATTTTTATTTAAAATTATTTCAAACTAGGATGCTAAATTGAGAAGATTTGGCCACAATGGAGAGTAGTTTCAACAAAATAAACAACCATTAACGGTTGGCAGTATGAAATGATGGTCACTTCCGTGGGTAGTACCAGCGAAATAGGAACCTTAAGAATACCAAATCATCAGCATACCCAATCAATCATGAATATTTTTTCATCCATATTCACACCTTTTTCAGTAGGTCATATCTCTTATGTTACATTTCAGTGCTAAATTAAATAGTATTGTTGATAGGGATTCACTTTTTTTTAAATCCAAATAAACTTCAAAGTTTTCAGAAAAATAATTACTGATTCAACTTTATTGAATGTTTTTGTCATGAGAATCATTATAATCCTCTTACAAAAGTTATATATATACTAGGACTATCCTTTAGGAGCCTCTGAAGTAAGGTTTTTAGCAATTAATAGTATACTGTAGACAGCTTCATTGAGAGCCGTTTTGTAGGGCACCAGTAAAACAAAATTTAGCAACATATAGGCATGGTTACACCCATAAATCAGACGGAAACATAAACTGGTCACTGCAGATTAAATACTATTTCTTAAATATGAATTAAAAATTTAACTATCCTGCCAATTTTTCAGGATGGAACATAATTAAGCATAACACAGAATATACTCATGAAATAATTCAGCACAATTAATGAACTTAGGTAATGACTGTAACAATACTAAACTCAGAGAACCAATTGATCAATTGAGTATTTGGAGGTTTAACAAAGGCCAACTATCAGGCTGTCATAATGATCAGTGAATGGTGCATATAACAATCCTAGACAGTAGGGGATTTAGAATTTAATTTTGGGAATTTCACTTTTTTTTATTAACAATGATTTCTCTGGAAGAAAAAGAAAAAACTATATTAAATGATGTCTAAGTGGTCCTTGACGACCTTTAAAAAAAAATTGAATGGTAATTACAGGAACAATTATACTTTTAAGGATCATTTTTTTCTTGACACATGCTTTAATTTAGAAAAAATTCACTCTACTAATTAGTGTAAATGAAAACTCAGTATTTGCAATTTAGTTGCTCGATTCAAAATTTAAAAAAACACATGACATTTAATAAAAAAAAAACATAATTGTACAAACAGTGGCTCCGAGATATAAACGATAATGCAAAAAAAGTAATTTCCTAAAACTTCATGTTTTGCCATAGATCAAAATATGAATGATGCCAAATCATGCCTTAACCCTCCAATATTTACGCTACCATATCGAACAGTCATACTCAAGCTGCACCTGTAAGGTAAAAATACATTTTCATGGTCTCTGAGTCTTCTGAGTGAGCTTAGTTTGCCAATAAATTATTAAAAGATCACAAAATATTTCATTAAATGTCAATGATAAGTCCTTATTTCATCACACATTAAAATTCAGAAACAGATGATCGTTTTCTCTAAAATGGATTAAATTTGATTTCCCACCGGTGTCCGACTGAGAAGTTTTACTGTATATCACAAAAAATTTATCTGAGAACAAGAGGGGAGAATAGGTATACATTTAATTTATTTTTCTTTTAATTCAAAATTATTTCTTTAATCAGAACATTCTGTCTTGGCAAACCATAATTGACAAGCAAGTGAGAATTTAGAGCAGTGGAATAAGAACCTGAGATCGGTTATATCGATCAAAAGAAGTATAGTTTTCGTAAGAAATTAAGAAGAAATTGCCACAGTTAATGTTTCCTTCCTTGCTGCCAAATTGAACAATATTGCCATCTTTAATTAATAGTATCCACTACAGAATACAACTGCCATAAAAAATACACAGCCCTATCAGGAACATTGGAAGTACTTTACAAGTGTTGCTCCACTAGGATGGGTGGGCACAACACTTTATGATCACACTTTATTCAGATTAGGATTTACGACTTTCTCGAATTCCAAACTGGCTTTTTTAGTTAAAATTGGGGTCTTAATTAATTATAAATACATTGTTGCTTTTGACTACCAGTGGCTCAAAACAGATATAAAAATGCCCAACAGGTCCTTTTAGGTAGAGGATGGTGCATGACAGTTCAATTGCCTCTGTCTCCTTTTAGATATACAAAGTGATTCTCAGAATGTCACTTATAGTGTTATCATGAGACATTATGCCCAACCCAAAGTGGAGCAACACTTGTAAAATAGAACCAGAGCTTTTATTTGAATTAGTGTTTAAATCTATTTTAGTCCTAACTCCAGTATTATTAAGCTTCGGTAGTACACAACGCACATTTATATCGGAAAAAAAGTACCTATTAAGGTACCAAAATACCTATTAAAGTACCTACCTGCTGCTACAACAGCATATGATCGGAGTCCTTCAGATTCCATCTTAGAACAGGTCAATAAATCTATTAAGTACATTAAAATATTATTTAAAATCATCTATATGAATAAATACATTATTTTAAATGAAAGACGGTACTATTGTACAAGTGTTGTTCTAATTTGATGTATGACACAAGATCAGATCATGAATCACATCATAAATGAAACCCCAAGAAGGGTCGTAGGGTCTAGTGTGTTTGAAAATAGATGAAAGTGAACCAATCATCTTGTAAGTACCCAATGGGAATTTGTTCATCCCTTTTGAGCAACCATGGCAAGCAACTGACAAGGATCAGTTGGCAGTTTGCAGAAGATGTTAATTGAAATCTGAATTAAGGGAGGTTATACTGTGAACAGGTCAATCCTTGATCATTCTTGGAATCCCATTTACAATATGACCAATGATCTTGGACCAATCACCAGAGTGGAGCAACACTTGTACAGTATTACCTTAAATAGTGTACATTATTAAAACTAATCAAACAAAACTTATAATATAGGAAGCAACAAAAATGAATAGCACTGTAAAAAAAGGTCATATTTTCACAGTGGAAGTCATAATTTATGTTAAATACCATAAACAGGAAATATTTCACTCTAAATAAATAAATAATTCTATTTTTACACATAAACAATCTGAAATAGGATCAATGTATATAAAAAATGAGTAACTAAAAGCTAAATGAGCCAAAGATTTTAACTTCCAAAGATGACTAAAAAAGAACATTACACTCAAAACAAATTGCATTAATCAAAACTTGATAACATTTTTAGGGTTGCATGTCTGTTTTGAGTGGTGTGTACTTTTTTTATAATGTTTTAGAGATAATCCAAAGTAATGAATTCAAAAAATAAAAACTTCATATTGATAACAGTTAATTAACTTCAAATGAATAGCCCCTAAATTTTTTTCTTCCTTGTCTGAAAGAACAAAACTATTAAAATACGTAAGTGTTCTAACCTTTGTAATGAACTCTTAAATTGCCATTAGAAAGACCAATGTAATTAAATTTATCTTTGGGACTCCATGATTTCGGCAAAGGAGTTTCCTCTTCATTTACCATAGGATAAAGAGTTTTAAGACGCTCTTTGAAATCACTTTTAACTTCACAAAAGTTTTCACTCATCTCTTGTGATGAAGAAGCCATTTGAACATAAGTGTACCCTCAGCTTCTCAAAAGATAAACTAAAAAGGTTATCAAGTCTAATCGATATGGAAACCTCGATTAATCGTTTTTTAACTTCATAACACAAAGGTTTTGATTAAGAACTAACTAGTTGGCCCGTGCGAAAAATTCGCAGATAATTTTGTTTAGTAAAAAAATATTGAAACAATATGGAAATAAGTAGTTCCTATGCATTATGTAAGGAAGGAATTAATATTTTTTCCTTAGTCGATTACAATATTCCATTAAACATAATAGACCAAAATATTTATACAAATTGCTATGCTAGGACCTATTTTTAAACGCTGACTGGAAAGATAATAAAAGTAATAAAGACAAAATAATGCCCCGATCATAGGATATTCTAAATTATTAAAAAAAATAAAATGAACAACCAATTGTCTTTAAGAAATAAAAAAAGTTAATATAAAAGCCAAGAAAAAAAATGTAGTAGACTATTCTACTCCTAAATGCAATATCTTCAAACAGGAAGATTATTGCATATTGACAGCAGCAAACAGGAAGATTATTGCATATTGACAGCAGCAAACAGGAACATTATTGAGTATGCCAAAACTAATCGACGGTATCTTTGTTAATAATGTCCGAATTTTACGATTTTTTTTTTTTTTTTTTTGTAGGTAATTCAGTAATCTTTCTAATTATCATGGGCAGCATCAAGAGAAAAATGCAAACTTTTTGAGTTATTCGCAAATAAAGTTTCTTTTCTTCCATACCTTTTTTTTCCAGAAATTTCGGGGGCTAGGACTATTATTCGCCTGAGAAGGAGCAAATATCTTCAAAATGAGTGGTCAGTCATTAGATTTGATGAAGAATTGACGAAGTTATGGCGTACCGACAAAAAACCACCTTTTAGAAATAATAAATAGGATACGTTTAGATATAGGTTGACCAACGTTAAAAAAACTAAGTCACTACGAATTAAATGTAACTATTACGGTAAGAAACAAGTCAAAAGAAAATCAATATTAAAATAATAAACAATTTATTATAATTATATGATATGAGGTATGAATGGAAACATTCAAAACTTCTTCTTATTATCGTTTTTAATGAATAATTATATTAAAAATATTATTTATGAGAAAAAAACGATCACTGCAAAAAAAAAAAAAAAAAAATCTGCAAATAAAAGATTATTTAACAAAAGTAAATTATTTGGAATTGAGGAGAAAAGAAACAATTTTTTTTGGCTAGAAGCGTTATTTGCAATTACAGCATGTATTTTGAGGGCACATTACACGGTCAATATTATTGAGTCAATATCGAGTTTCTTCAATATATTGACTATGTAAGGGCTACATTGGCATCATTTATATTGACCTCAATCAAACAGGTTGATATAAATGTTTTTAATTTTTATTGAAGCTCCTTCAATACTATTGAAACAGTTTCAATATAATTTCACGTGTAAGTGCTATATTGAGCAATATTAAACCACTTATACTGTTTTACTTTTATTTATTGAGGAGGAGGTGGTTAACCCCCCTTCGATTATTTTTTAAAAGATAAAATGGGTATATGTTTGTGTAGATTGGTGATAATTTCAGTGGCAGTCCCTGTAAAATCAATGTGCTCCAACAATGACAGTTACTGTAGACGCTGTAATATCACAGCTCTGAAATTTATTTCAAATATATATATATATATATATATATATATATATATATATATATATATATATATATATACATAATTACAGAAACATTTAAATATTTACTATTTAATTAAATTATTTAATAATTAAAGCCATATATTTATGAAAAAATCATCGGAAAGCTTTTCTTTCACTATTTTATTTATTACTTAACTAGTTGGCCCGTGCGAATAATTCGCAAAATATATTGTTTAGTGAAGGAATAGCAAAATAATATAGACAAAAGTAGATCTTATTACAATATTTCATTTAACATTCTTTTTTTTTTCTGTTGGCATTACAGACCATGTAGATCTTTTGCCGCCTTAACAAGCCTGCTCCATCTCTGCATATCTTGGGCTATTTTTTCCTTCCATTTATCTGCACGCAGCTCTGTTGCATCTTCGTTGATTCTAGCAATCCATCTGCTTTTTGACTTTCCACGTGTTTTTTTGTATTCTATTGAGGCATTCGTTGTTGCGTAGAGGCTTCCAGATGGATTGCTATGAGCTACATGCCCCGTCCATCTTAACCTCCGTGCCTTCATATCATGGGATATTGATTGACCAGTTTCTGTAACGGTCTTTCTTCTCTATGTGTTAGTACTCTGATCCCAGATCGCTCCGATTATCGAGCAGAGGATTTTTCTCTCTAATCTTTCAACACTTTTCTAGGATGCTGGCTATTGTCCAGGTCTCTCAGCCATATATTAGAACTGGTTTTATCATTTAGCTTTGTACATCCTTAATTTGAGATTTTTGGGATTTCTATACCTTTGAAAGAGAGAAGAAAGTTCTATTTGCGCTAGTCATACGCTGGTCTATTTCTGTCCGTTGGTCATTCATAGAGGTTATTGTAAAGCCAAGGTATTTGAATTTTTCTACTTTCAGGAATGATTTTTCTTCTACGCAGATTCAGTTATTGGGGTGGAATTTTCGGTCGATTGTCACATATTTTGTTTTGTCTTCATTTACTTTTAAGCCGATCTGCTCTGCCTCTCTTATCAGAGTCCTAGCGAGTTTCTCAATGTCCTCTTGATTACTTCCAGGGCACTCAATGTCCTCTTGAAGGGCAGCTATATCATCTACATATCCAAGGATTTTATGATTCATTCCGACGTGGACCCCTCCATTTTCCTGTGATGTTGTTCTTATTACCTTCTACAGGGCTAAGTTGAATAATATCGGTGAAAGTCCATTTTCCTGCCGTAAGCCCGTTCGAACTTCTAAGGTGTCAGATACTTCTGCTTTTATTAGGACTCTATATTTAAGGTCATTTCTATACGCCTTTTTCAATCTCACCAACTTACCGGGCACTCCCATTTCAGTCATGATTTTCCGAAAATAGCTCCTGTCCACGGAATCATAGGCTGCTTTGAAATCGACAAATAGAGCGTGAACGTCCTGAGCTACTTCCCGTAGTATTTCGAGTCCTCGTTTTAGGATGAAGATCTGGTCTTGCGTGCTCCTACCTTTTCTGAATCCAGCTTGGTGGACGCCTATTTTATTTTCGTAATACGGATATATCCGGTTCAGTAGGATATTGGTCATTATCTTTTAGGCAAATAGAAGGAGCATTCATACATAGAGCCTTTCTTCATGATAGTAAAAATTAGTCACATATTCCAAGCCTCAGGTACCGTACAATATATACAAGACAGAGAATGGGAGATAAGCAATCACCTCAATACGTTACCATTTCAAGAAGTATATACCAGGGGGACTGCTTCAGCCCCCTTTGGTTTTGTCTTGCGACGGCTCCATTGTCAATTTTTACTTTCACTTACGTATATATGTAATATATAGTAAGGGTAAGTATTGCGATCGTGAAAATTTTCGAATCTCAGTTTTCAACGGAAAAACATGTTTTGAAGTCTCGTGCGTTCAAATAACCAAGTCTCGCAAAATGGTCTGTGTGTGTGTGTGTTACAGTCTAACTCATAAACGAAAAATTATACGAAAAGTATTTAAGGTTTGTATATGGGCCGGATGCGACAGCAAATTTATCGTTAAAATCGGCTAACGGGAAGTGCCACTTTATATGAACGCTGAAACAAATTTTTACAATTTTCTCAAAAACGGCTCTAACGATTTTGATCAAATTGGTGTATCATTGTATAATTAAGTGGTCTTTAATATCATTTAGGTCTTATCCCCGTTAATGTCACTTTACAGGGCTTAAATGCCCAATGTTCATATATTTCTTCCTCTATAGTACCTTTAATATAGTTTATTTTAAAAGTTAACCTTTTCGCATTATTCAGAGTTACAAAAAAAAAAAGGCTACATATAACTTTTGAAAGAATTTGATAAGTTAATAAAGGAGAAAAAAAAATAAAAATGCAGAAAAACCTGCTTTGCTATAGACTGTAGCGCCTAAACGAATGTACCGATTTCAATGAAACTTCGCTAAAGTCATTTTCTCGATACCCTTTAAATTTATCAATATAACATACTTCAACGAAAAGAAGCTGGAAAAAAAGTTACGAGGGGTGGTAAAATTAAATTCCGAATAACTCAAAAAGTATACACTTTTTTGTATTGTATTGGCTTTTTTAAAAATTTATGGAATTTCCTAAAAAAAACAAAATCTTTTAAATCGGATAATTAGGAGGAAAAATATGGCCTCTAGTTTTTTTCTCTGAAGAGGCGAAAATTTGGATAAATTCAAAATATATTTTTTTCATTGTTGAGACTAAAAAAACCTTTATTCTCAGTTCTATATTTCAACACTGCAATCACTACCTCCGGAATCAACTTACTCATTGTCTGCATAGATAACTTTTTCAACTAAAAATATCACTAAAATGACATCACTCAAAAATGTTGAAATTGGAGTTAGTCATTCTGTGGTTTATAAAAGCAAAGAAAGTTGTGTGGTTTATAAAAGCAGATGGAGTGACTAGATTTTTATTTTCTATCGTCGATATATTAAATAGACATTTTGTAATTATAAAGGTCGTAATGACTTGTTATCTGTAAGCTTTAAGCTTTAGCTCCGTTTTAAATGCACTTCAAAAAATTTTATAATAGCCCAGCATTGCCAGAAAATAATTTCTATTCAAAGTAGATCGGTAAGTGTGTTGTGTGTTGCGCGCACCAGATTTTTACTTTCACTTACGTATATACACTGACAGGCAAAAAATTCCACCCACTTGATTTTTTTCATGTTTTTATCTAAAAATATTTCTGCTTGATTAGTCTATTGTTTTTAATGAATAAATAGGTAATCTTTTTGTTTGTTTTCAATTAGGAATGTTAATATAGAGGACAATAACTCTTAATCCCTAATTCAATGAAATGATTCTAGATTCCAATGTTTACTT